TGATTTAAATTCACGCAATTTTCAGTGTTGGCAAATCAAAGAATCGAACGAATTGAAATCTAGCGACGCGTTAAAGTTTTCGTCGCACAACATAAACTTTCTATTGTGTTCCATCAAAGGGGTGCACAACCACAACAACACAACAATCTAAACTCACAAGAGCAGAACGAGTGCCAGATGCCTTTTATTTTCATTTTCATTCTAAACTAAACTAAGCAGAATATAAAATTTTTATCCATTTGTCCATTTTTATCATTTTTGCTAATAAAATATTTTTTTTGCGTTTAAAACAGTTTATTCCGAGTTTTGAGACACAAAAAGTGATACTTTAAACTCGGAGGGTCACTAAAGTACTTTAGTCACGGATTTTAGTCACGGGGAAGAATTTGAAACAAAGTTTTTTTTTCAAAAATTAATTTTGTGATTAAACTTATAAAGAAAATCAATATAAAAAGTACTTTAGTCACGAGTTTTAGTCACGGGGTAGGGTTTAAAGCCGAATTTGTTCAAAAATTAATTTTTTGACTAAACTTATGAAGAAAATCAATTTTTTCACTCTTAAACAACTTTTTAGCAAAAATTTACTTTAAAAAGTGCAAAATTAAACATTTTTATTAAAATCTATGTTTTAGAAGATGCTGGCAACTTGTAGTAAATATATATGATCCAGTAACAATATACAAGAGCAGAACGAGTGCCAGATGCCTTTTATTTTCATTCTAAACTAACTTGCACAGAAAATAAAATTTTTCAACAAAAATTTTTTTGATGTTTTTGGAGGTTAAGTTGAATTTAAATGATTGAATTGCGGTGGCAATTGTGCAAAACGTTTCGAATATTGAATAATGCGCACCACATCTGCATCTGCATTGCATTAATAACCATCGATAATTCGTTTACAGTAGCAAACCCTCCTCTCACTGGTTTGTTGTTGGTTGTGGAGCGCTAAAATAAATGCGATTATATCAACCTGCGTGTGCACACGCATATATGCGGAATGTTTAGCGGGCGGGCACGATATATAATGCTAAATAATTATCGTCGTTGCGTGTTGCGGCTGATTCCCAAACGGCGAATTAGTGTTACACCATCCCGACCTGCCTTCATACCAGTGGTGGCTGGATGTCGAACGTGACGTACATTCACCAATTTCGACATTAGTTATTATTATTGCGGACTGCACGTGCGCGCTTGTACTTGCAGTGTAACATTTGACGTCACGTCCCGAACATTAACGACATTAATCTATCAATTTCGATAATGAACCGTACAGCGGACATGTATGACCATAATTGCGTCAATTTGCATTTGACAATTATTGAAAACAATGTCGAAACTTGTATTAATCAAAAAACGTGTAAAAAAAAATTGCAGGGTAAATATGGTGGTAATGGTCACGTGTAGCACGTGGTGGATGTGCACTGAGGGAGAGATAGTCACACCGCGAATGATGTCGTTGCACGCACGCCAAAATCGTTTTGTCACCGATGTTATTTCGACTTTTTCCTCGCTTTTACTCACACCTGTATGGGACATGTGTAGTCATTTAGTTTTATTTGCTGTTGGTGGATTAGTCGAGATAGGGTTGCGATCGAAATGCGAGAAATCGCTTTTTTTCACCAAACGGAAGCAGCAAGATGAAGCAAGATGTGATGCTACCCGTGAGGGTCGTTGTGCACGCCGGTCGGCGGTTACGACCGTCCGATTGCCCTTTTCGCCCTTCGGCCTGCCACCTCCTCAGTGATTGTTATTCGTTTTTTAGTGTCTCTCGGTCTAATCGTAATCGGGCGCTGCGGCGCGTTAACTACAACCGGCCACCGTGCGGCGTCAAAGCAATAAGAACACATAGACATCTACACACAAACACACAGACTGACTTTGTGTTTTTATTGCTTTGCCCATTCTGTGGTGAGCAATGCATGCGAGTTAATTTGTTGCGCGTCGGAATCGCGGCGTTTTTGTATCGCATTCTTCCGCTTATGGCGAGACGAGTCTTCCGATCAGGATTATTACCTCCGAACGGCCCGATAATGCGCCACGGCTGGAGTGAAATTATACCGAAAACCGGCGGCGGAGAACACCTTCCACGAATGCGGCGCGACGTGGTCGCAATAACCATTTACCACTATCTGCTATTCCCACGGCGCGTGTTCGCCGGCCAGGAGTGAACAGATGAGACGATGTCGGCGAGGTTTGATTGCGCAAAGAGTGCGCCAACGAGAAATGAAAACAAATTGCTTTTGCTTCCTGGCAAAGGCGATATTTACTTAAAGGCCGTTACAGCAACAATGATTCTCTTTGATTTTCGAACGAATAACAATTTTATTAGTAAACTTACACATGTAATCAACAAATCAACAAATTTAAACCAATAGAGTATTCTTATTGTCTTCTGCGGTATTCCTGAGCAAGTTTTTCTAAATTCTCAGCGTAACTCTTTAATAATTCGGCTTTTTTCGCGTAGTGCTCAGCATCTACTTCAGGAACATCTGAGCTTGGAAGAGTTGCTATTCTAGGGACGGTTAATTTAGCCAAAACTTCATCAATGTGAATTGGATGGTTTTCTACATATCCAGAACGAGATTGATCAATGGGTAAGTGGCTGATCATTTCTTCTTGCTTAGCGAATGCTCTCAAATGCTCTTGACGAGCCGCAACTACTTCAGGAGTGTCGTGAACAACAGGAGCAGGGTTCTTAACTTCGAAACCACCATCAACGGTGTTGTATTCAACTAGGAACTGCTTTCCATTTGGGTCAACAAATGAGTAGCTTCCAGAGATGCTTCCATCTGTGTTTCGGTGTTCCTGGCGGTTACCATCAGGAGTTTGGACGTTTAAATTGTAATTTCCTAGGGTATCTTGTTGAATATTAACTGAACCAATGTCAGAAGCCAAAATTGGGAGCAGAACAGCAGATAAAATCACCTGAAAAACAAAAAAAAAAATTAAATTTAAAATTTTGTGGTTTAAAAATTAACAAAACTTACGAAAAATTTCATTTTGTTATTTTTAGTTGTTATCCACTTGAAAAAACTCACAATTGTGATTTGAATATTTGCATGATGAGTTTATATACTCTGGAACTAAAACCTTCACTTAACACTTGCTGTCATTAACTGGTCATTACTTATAATTCCTATTTTTATCGTCGTTTGAAAGTCATACTTTCAAAACCCGAAATAATCGGCGTGTAATGTACCCAAATCCAATTTGCATGACTGCTAAACAGGTATGAGCCACATCCGGACTTTTGACTTGCGGGCCCAAAGGGTTTGACACAAAAGGATTAATAAGTGCCGCATGACACACAGGGGAATAGCGAATGCATAAATTTATTTAAATTTTAAATTTACAAGTGTTGTAAAAGTGTCAGGTTGCTGCTACTTCATTTACAACATGTAACAAATCACTGCATCTATAAATCTATTGAATTTTTGACTTGTCGATTATCTATTATTGTGGTTTACCAACTAAATATAGTTATGATTTACAACTTGAGTATTTCCTTCAAATTAATTTATGACTCGTGCGTGGAGAGATGCATTTATTTATTTTTCTGTATCCGCATTCACTCCTCTACCGAATGTTTTGTTTTCGTAATCAATCAATTATCAGCAGAGGAGAATCCCGCCTCATCTCTTCACTGTACCACGTATTCATTGGGATGTGTGAAGTGCGTCTTTCTTTTTGCTTTTGGTTCTCGGTTGGCTTCTGTGGCGTGTTTGTTTCAGCTCGAAACTCTCGAGTTTGTGATTTATGTAAATTCCATTGGGAGGGCATTTAAATTTAGATTAGATCCCTCGGTTTTTTTTTCGGCTTCTCCTGCTTCTTCTACGAGAATGTGCACACACAAATAGAAATGCTTTTATTTGCACCCGGCTGCCAGTAATCCCTTACAGCGCATTATAAAGCGAAAATCAAAAATAATGCTCGAAACGAAATAAAAATTGATATGGAAATGCTGATGAGACTTGATGTGCTCTGCTCTGTGTGCTCCAAAGGAATAAATAAAAATGCCGAATGCAAATTTTCACCACGGCGAGGTTCGTTAAGAAACGTCCCTGGTGATTTTAATTTGCGACTTTGCAAAAAAAAATTTTCCCGCGCAAAAAAAATAAAATAATATAGGAAGTGTTAGAAAGGTTGGAAGTGTTACTAGCGAATAGTGATGGATTGGGCAAGTAGGCCAGGGAGTTCCTGCCGGCTCGACAGGATCCACCACTCTCAACCGGGTTGATTATGCTGCCGCAAGTCTACCGCAATAACGTCGAAATCCGTCTGACGTTTGTTGTCTGCATCTCGATACTTCCTGCTTTAAATCTAAATCTAGCCATTTGGTTATCCACCAATCAACTTGGAATTAACTTCGACAAGCAATTAGCATTTGAATTTCAACTCCAAGTAGGAGTAAAAGAAGTGGAAGCAATTAAACAAATTTATATCGCTCGTAAAACTTGAAGAAAATGCAGATAAAGTCTAATGATGCAAATTGGACTTGGCGCATATTTAATTCTTTCCGCTAATTTATTCGTCAGCATCTGCAAGGAGTTTAAAAGTATCTTCGGCGGATGCGAACATAGATTGCTACTGAATGTTTTACCTCAGTTTCACCTCCTGCTGGCCTGCGACGCAAGGTTGTTACCGCTGCCACTAGAGACCGTCACCGATGGAGCTTGTTTCCGCCGCCCGTCGCACTCCCCTCTCCCATAACCAGCCGCCCCCACTATGTTGGAAGGCGTGGTTGTGAGCAGGAATTCAACAGCGTATTGGTTGTGGGTTTGAGTCGAAATCCCATCGGATTGGAGCCGGAGTCATGTTGTGCTCCGCCCGTCGACCGACCCTTCCGCAAAGGGTCTCCGGGGGAGTGGCCCTTGGGATGATCTCTCCGGGCAGAGAGAGAGCACTCCACCCCCGAGAGGTCGGCACACTCGCGGCGCGTCGTGCGGCCCGCACATTCGATGCTTATCAACTGTCCCACAAGTCGGTCCAGTCGCGTTTATCCGCTTGTGTCGGCAAGTGGTCTCTCGTCGCGCGGCGCATACACACGCTGATATCCGCTCTGGGGACGACGCGCGGACTCGCAATGAGACACACATCTCACGCGACTTGCTAATCCCACAAGTCGCAATCACCTTCGACCCCCCAAGGTCGATTTGCGTGTATCCAGAGGACAATTTTACCAACGAATAGAAATTTTAATTTCGAGGTTTTGAAGACGCGCGCGAGTGTGTTTGTTGTTCGCGCAGTGTGAAAGTGTAAAAGCTTCAAGACGCGGTCCGACGAGAGCGCACCGACGGAGCGCGGCGGCGCAGGCGGAGGCGGCGGCTATCCGACGGCGTCCCCGTGGCCGGCGCTTTCGCTGCCGGCGCCCGAACTGGACCCGGTGGCGTGGGGCCGCAAGTTGTATCCGGGTACCGGCGGGCCGCGCGTGGCCGCCACCGGCGCCGGACTCATGTTCGGGTTGCACCATCATCAGGATGCCGGCGGGCTGCATCATCATCATCAACCGCGTGGACCCTCACTCAAAGAGGAACCCATCACCACAACGAGAGCATGGATGCAACCCACCGTACCCGATCAAACAGGGTAAGTTGTATAAAATCACCTAACTACTACTACAACGGTCGTTAGAAATAATGAGCGAATAAATTGCCCATTTCTGGACCCATTAAGGGGGTGTCATGTGCCATAAATCAAAAATAATCATTTTCAACCAGATTTTGATTTAATTTTTTTTGTGTGTGTGTGTGGATATTTTCACTTTTGTGTTGTTGATGCGGCTCGCTTAATCTAAACTGATGTCAATTACGCGCCCGACTAATTATTAACTGTCGTTGACTGCTCGTTCGCTCGGAGGCGGCAGGCGGCTGTGGAGCAGTGGAGATGTCGAGCGAGGGCTTTTAATGATGCGGTCGCCGCCGCCAATGCGGGCCAGAAATCTAATTAGCAGCCTGTTCACTTAACTACTTACTCGCCGCCCGTTGGCAGGCGGCAGTCAACCGCCCTTCTGACTTGTGCCGTCGCCGCAGTCACGAGCACATCGTTTCCTAAATGTTTGTCGTTCATCCAAACAGCCCACTTGATATGTGGTATTTAGGTATACCTAATAAAAATTAACAACACAAAAAGTTTTTTTTATTTTTTACTTAAAAATTTTGTTTTGTATTAAATTTTTTACGTGTAGAATTCAAGTAGCAGAACAGGTTCTCATGATGCAATAAGACAGGAACAGCGAAACCGAACGCGAAAAGGAAACGCGGAGAAGTCGAAAGTTGAAACACTTGAGTGATGAGCTGCGGAATGACTGAATGACGCGCGCCGACATGACTCAATTAATAACCGACAACCGCGAACAAATTAACAGATTAACGCTCGCTTAATAACTGCCAAGCAAATATAAATTAATTTTCTGTTGAATTTTTTCATTTTTAGTGTTTTTGTATTTTGAGACATGGTAATAGACACGAGCCGAGTCGATAATGCAATTTATTGATATGTGCAATCGATAGCAGCGGCCGTAATACGTCCCTGATAAAGCACCTGCGCCTCGAGCTACCCCCGAGTAGTAGTAGCTTCCGAAGGGTTGGCTGAGCATCGTAATTCTCTCTCTTTCCAAAAACATAATACACACACATAATACCTACGAATTTACAACGAGTCGATATTTATTGCAAATTTATGCATAAAACATCCAAACAATTTGATGATGCTTATACTACCCACTGTACACATACGCTACGGTAGCGCTGGTGATATTGAAGACGATTTTATGATTTTTTACGAGCAAGACAATAAAATGTGTCTATACGCACGCAATATTGGGTGACGAAGAGGATCAAAATGTTCATAGACATATTAGCAATATTACTTTTTATTCCCACAAAAAAAAATTTTATAAAAAAATTTATTTTTTTATTTTACAGGATTGGTGTTGGACGAGCGCACTTTGAAAAGCAACCACCTAGTAATCTACGCAAATCCAACTTCTTCCACTTTGTGATTGCTTTGTACGATCGTGCAGGTCAACCGATAGAAATCGAACGCACTGCATTCATTGGATTCATCGAAAAAGATCAGGTAAATAAAAATTAAATCCCTACTAATATTATAAATGCGAATGTCCTGATGTTTGTTACGCTTTCACGCAAAAACTACTTAACAGATCATCATGAAAATTTGTACACATATTCTTAGTGGTCCCCGAAAGGTTATAGGCTACTTTTTATTTAATAAAAACAATTATTTTTTAAATAAAATAAAGAAATTGTTTAGTCAATAATACCGCTGCATCTGGTTATTTGACTACTTTAACGCCATCTAGCATTCCAGCAATGAAGCTCAAACCTAAGTACTATAGTACCATCACACTGTATTATCACACTGTACTACCGACAGCTACGTCAACATCAAATCCAATTGACTACACTATGGAGACTGTACACTATACTTCCATAGACTATACTTTCAGCCATTTTAAACTTCCCGCCATTCTACTTTATTGTTACTTCTTCTGTGACTACAGACGCGTACGGAAGCAACTTCATTATTTTAGATATTCGCGAGCGAAGCCGCGGGTTAAAGCTAGTTAAAAAATAAATATTTCAAGTTCTAAGAACTCGTATGTTGTCTTAAATTAAATAATTATAATGAAAAACGTGTCGCAGCACGTGACACATGTACTGCACGTACGAGTACACAAGGCGGTAATTACACAAATTACTTTATCAATGTGTATCAATGCACGGCAAACAAGCGTGCGTGCTAAAAATGCACCTAGCCAACTCTATTACGCTTGATTAAATGTCTTCCAGACTGATATCAGCGTTTTCGATCTTTAATTGCGCCTGCAAGACGATCGCATGTAATTATTATTGCTTGTGATACTCTCCTAGACAATTTGCTAAGTGATAACTTTTTTATTTACTTTGTAAGTGTAATTTACGTAATTTCGCACGTGGAAATAAATTTTATTTAAATTGTTGTTTGCGCAAAACGCTTGCAATGTTTACACAGTTTAGCGAAAAGTTTGATGCGCGTTTTGTGCTTTCTCGGGCCGGTGTGTTGAATTGTGGAGGCCGTAGCGCTACCTGTTACGTGAATTTAAAGCGAAACGGACGCGTGGCGGCGTTTAACGAAGCCATTTATATAAATTTCGCCCCTCAACCGACGTAGAAACTCACCTCGGACGAATTAAGCTCGAAGTTTTTTAGAAATTGTTTTGGTTTTGCTTCAAAACACTTGAAAAAATAAAAATTTTACCAAATTTATTAAATTTTCAGCAAAAAAATTTTTTTTTATTCAAAAAATAAATTTTTGATAACAAACTGTATTGTTTAGAAATAAACGCTGAACACTGAAGGTAGAGAAGAAAGGTCTGAATGTAATTGTGTTCGCGGCGATGCGGAAGATTAGGGAACGCGTCGGTTTGAACATTTATCATCCGAACCCTTTTTGGCAAATTTCTCGCAACTCATTCATATTTCGCCGGGGGTTGCAACACACTACAATGAAACATTTAGGTTAATTTTTTTCTCGCTTTTGTTTTGCAGGAAGCCGATGGGCAGAAAACCAACAACGGTATCCAGTACAGATTGCAACTGTTGTACGCCAACGGTAAGTTTTCCCAACCGCATAAACCAAAAGTCCGAAAACTTGCAAAGCCGCACGTCCCGCGAATCCCTCAAATCCCACAAGATGACCATCCCTTTATCTTAGCTCCGACTTGCCGGCACCACACACAACCTCAGTCTAATTTATTTCCTCCGTCGGTTCTCTCTAAACCCTTGGAACGCTGTTGGTAGTAGATTATTACCGAAACACAAGCGTGCGGTCGTGGTCGTCTTCCGCTGATGGACTTTATGCCAAACGCGCGTAATTAATTAATTAGTTTAGCGGTTGCGGCAAATTTCTTGCCTCCGTACTCAGCTTATCAATAGGCGTAGGTTGAAATCAATTGAAGCACGCCGACAAGCGGCTGTTCGGACGCATTATGACCTTTTGCGTCGACGAGCGAAAAACGCTATTTACACTTTTAGTGCGCGAACGGCGTGCTCGATATGGTAGCAGGCGCGAGAGCACGTCGACGGAATGACAAGTACGCGGCTAGCGCTTCTGCGTAGCTGACGCTCTTTTAATTAGGCCTATAATTAATCCGACCAGTCAATCAGATCGACCAAACTTGGCGCGGCGATTGTTTTTCAGCGCGCGCGACGCGCTTAATTTGAGCGCGAGCAGATGTGACGCACCGCACTTTTGAAAAAATGCCTGGGAACACAAACACGATGAAGATTACCCAAAACAACAAAAAAAAAACATTATTACTACTTCCGGTTTAGAAGCACCCTTGTTTCCTTTATTCTTATCTTATCGCCGTGAAAGTTCCGTCGTCTTACAATGGTCCTTTATTTTGGCAACACCCAAACTTGATATCATAGACGTATCTAGTGGTCCTTGAAATGGACGTGCGCAAAGTTTCTTGCTGGCTTTCAGTTTGCATTATCATGTTAATGATTCAAACTTGGCGCAGACGTGCTGCAGACTTGTTTAACGATTGTTTCAATTATGTTCGTAGGTGTGCGACAGGAGCAGGACATCTTCGTGCGTCTCATCGATTCGGTCACCAAGCAGGTAATTTATTTTTTTGTTATTTTAATTTTTTTCTTAAGTAAACATGTTTAACGTAATCGGATGTGATACAATGGTGCGTTCCACGTGCGCGCCACGCGTCCGCATGTGGGATGCAGATGCGTACCCTACCATTAAGACTTTATCACGAACCTTTTAGCCGATCTATAAACAAACCGGAGCCGAAAAGCCAGGGTCCCCGGTAACGAGCGTTGGAGGGTGATCCGCACGCGCAGATATTGCGCAAATCTTGAAATATTGCGTTTTCATGCTAAAATCTTTCATAATCTTTTCGTGTTAAACGCTCGTAATATACGATAAATTTACTATTGTATTACTCGTATCATGGGAAACACAAACAGATTATTTATTTCCAAATCAAAAAAAAAAAAAAAAATTTCAAGTTTTTAAATTTTAACGTTTTAAAGAGATAATTAGCACATAGGAAATAATTAGGTGTTGATAATATGATAATATGAATACGACGAGACGTTGAGCTAGTTTGTTGCAGTTTATTGCAGTCGATGCGCAATAACGCTTTACCTGCGCGCTCGTTGCGAGAATGCATAATGGACGAGATTAACAAACGGCGCGCAATTGTGTTCGCCGCCCGGCGCACGACGATGTAATGATGCGAGCGGCCGATAAAACTTTAATGCCGGATCATGAGCGAACGCGCCCGCTGCCGCCGCCGGTGGCGGCATTCGAATTAACGCCCCCGAAAATTCAAAAGTATATTGATGCCCAGCGCCGCGCTCACGCGCCATACAAATGCATTTAAATAACGCATTAGTGTTTTTATTGTGTGTGCCGCCCCCGGAGTGCTTCATACAATATCGATGCACAACTGCCTTCCAATATGAGAAGCACGCATTGAATTATTCACGATTTTTAATTGATAACAAAAACTTGCAGAAATAATATTTATTTATTTATTTGTCTGTCAGAGTTAGAAACACGCATAAAAAATGCATGTGTATCATGTGCGCAATTAGAAAAGATGTAAACCTCGCTGATATCACGTCGCGCGCGTTTTAATGTAATTTTAACGAGACTGAAAGTGCAGCGAATTTTTAAAACTGTCCGAGACTGAAGCTGCGGATAACGAGTGAGGGGAAATTGCGTCCGGAAACGGCACAGACGTATTTATAATGGTTCTGCCTCCGCTGCCGCCGCCTCCGCTGCCTCCGCTGCCGTTGCCTCGAGGTATAGCGGAACGAGGGAGCGAGAAATTACATTACGGCTGAAATTTTTATTCCTTCGCTAATTGTTGCTCTTTTGCACACCGCGCGCGGCGCTTTATTAAATTTGTTACGCGTTACGATGATATTTAATTTGCGCACGGCGTGTTTCCTTCATGCTTATTACCCGCCACCGCGTCTGGTGAAGACACCGACACCGCCAACGTCGAGGTGCCGGCTCATAAGTGTAAAATAAACACGATGTAAGCGAAATGTGCCCGCATTAATTATTACCTGCCGGCGTAACGTATCCTGCGGTTATCCTGGCACCTGCCTGCCACCGTGCGTCCTGAATTACGCGCACCGCAAGCAATAAATCCGTAATAATTGGTGGTGGATGGTAATAAGTTTCGGATTTCTTTTATATACGAAATTTTATATATCACTACGTGTTTTAAATCAGGTTGGGGGTATTTTCGTGTTGGTTTGGTTGCCTATCAAGACATCAGCATAACTATCAGGTTAAATTTTAAAGAAAAAACATTTTTGAGTTGTTTTGGCTGCCTATCAAGACATAACTTGAATATTTTGCTTATTAATTATTTATTTATGTATATTTACGTACTAATAAAGTTATCGTAACAGAAAATCAGATAAAATTGCATTAAAGTCAGGTTAAATTCAAAATAAAAAATATTTTTGAGTTGATTTGGTTGCCTAACATAACATGACCATAAACATCAGGTTAAGTTCAAAATAAAAAATATTTTTGAGTTGTTTTGGTTGCCTACTACAACATAACTTGATCATTTTGCTTATTAATTGTTTATTTATGTTTATATACGTGCTAATAAAGTTATTGTAACAGAAAATTAGAAAATATTGCGTTATAATCAAGTTAAATTCAAAATAAAAAATATTTTTGAGTTGATTTGGTTGCCTAACTCAACGTGATCTTAAATATCAGGTTAAGTTCAAAATAAAAAACATTTTTGAGTTGTTTTGGTTGCTTATAACAACGTGACTTGATCACTTCGCTTATTAATTGTTTATTCATGTTTATATGCGTTTGTTGCTCATCCACGTACTAATAAAGTTGTCGTAACAGATAACCAGATAACCGCCAGTGCAGTTATGCCTTCATAACGATCGCGGGCGCACTTTGCTCTCCAGCAAAACGCAGCAGGCGAGATAAAACTCGCTTGTAAAATGCATGCAGGGTGCGCGACGGCGTCGGCGGCAGCGGCGGCGGCGTACCGCATAACGCATCCAATTGCCCCGCGCTAACTTATCGCCCCGCGCGAAATAAAGCGCACAAAGCGGACGGAAATGAATTACTGATTTCACAAAGCACAACCGGTTCCGCGCGCAATGAGCAATTAAACAAAATGTAGTTGGCAAAAAGTGCGCCCACCCCTATTGCACACGCGCCGCATCGAATTTCAAATCCTTATCATTGAAATACGACCACGCGACGTGTTCTTTTATTGTCGCCGCCCCGGAGGGAAAAGGGCATCGATATAAATATTCAACGTGTATATGATAAACGCACAAATGTTTTTAATTCGTTTTATTTTTAATTGTTCGCGCGCTCGCTAAAAGTGATAAGGCGTATAATTCCCGAGGGAATGATTCAAAGTGATCGAACAAGCGCGTCGAAAATCCTCTGGAGGACGCACCTTCGGGGATCACCGCCAACTTTCTTCGCCGTAAAGTTCATCACCTGCAAAACTTCTTATTATTTCCTTGGAAAGACTTCAGAGTCAACCTCATGGGAAGACACATTTCATGCTTCATTTACATGCTTTGATTTTATTCATTCAAGCAAAAATTTGACGCGTTTTGTTGTTCTTTTGGTTCTGTGGCCAAAAAACACTGCAAGTTTATACAAGGCTTTTATCCGGCGGAACACATGTTGCTCAATGTCCAGTAAGCCGTGCTTGATCCCTCCGACAGTACGCCGGGACCCACCACGGCTTTCCAGGACTTGGTGCGTTACATATTCAATTAAACAAAAATCTATCAACTGCTCCCGAAGCGAGCGCGAGCCCCGAAAGCACCTTAATCCGTGGGTTTTGCGGGGCGCTTTGCCTCCTTCGCCAACTATGCAGCAGGGGCGAAAACAGAAAGCCAAAATAGCCGGATTACGTCGAAAGGGCCCCCCCATGCCGCGAGGGTAAGTCCGGTAATTATACAAGCCTTGCAAGTGGGGTTATTCTATGCTCATTGATGACTAGTTTGTGTTCGACAACCAGCTGAACCTGGCATTAATAAAACTACATGGGATTTAAGGGGTTAGGTTGGAAAAAAATTGATTTTAGGGTTTCGACACTCAAATCCATAAAAAACAATAATATATTTACACAGGGTGTAATAACTCATCATGTTATTTGTGTTTGTTTTGTCTGTGGCCCACAAAAATACACAAAAATCTAAATTACTGATAACATTCTTTGTCCCAAGGAGTGTACAGACATAAAACCACCTTGTATTTACACTTGTCTATACCCCCGAAAAACATTCGGGATAATTAAGTATAATATAACAGTTTTACAACGTTTGTTTACTCAGAATAATTAATTTTTTGTTGCAGGCGATCGTGTATGAAGGACAAGATAAGAATCCGGAAATGTGTCGAGTGCTGCTAACGCACGAAATCATGTGCAGGTAAGCAAACACACAAATTTTGAATTGGGGGATGATGGAAATAAAAGAATGTAGTCATAGTCACGCGTTTCCCTAAATATCTTGCTTCTCTGCGTTGAGTCTTTATGACTTGAAGGGAGAAGCAAGTCGGAGGCCGAGCGAAGGGAGGAGTTAAGTCTCCAGGGAGTCTGTCATCGTCCCCTGCCGCCTCCGCCAGTCCAACGGAGCTTCATATGGCATGAAATGAAAATTCTCTTACGTTTTCCACAAATCTACTGATGGTCCTAATATGGTATTAACAATCTCTGTTTTTGTCTGTTCCCGGTTTAGTCGATGCTGTGACAAAAAAAGTTGTGGGAACCGAAACGAGACACCATCAGATCCTGTGATAATAGACAGGTAAGTTTTTTTTTTTGAAAAAAATTTTGGAATTTGCGGATTGATTGTGCTGGTATCATGTAACCAATTGCAAATTGCTCCAGCCCACTGTTTGCGATTGTGTGCATCGCGTGCGCGGCACGTGGCATTCTCTCCCGTGACACGTGCATGCGTTTTGTTCTTTCCGGGAGCTTGATAAGTTACTTTTTCGTTCGTACTAAGCATAATTGAATTGCATCTGGTGCGGGATAATATTTTCTATTAGCGATTAGCTTCCGGGGCTGAAGTTAAGTAAAAGTTAACGAGTTTTATTTGTGTTTGCTGCAAACGCCACGTGACGTTCGAGTACTCGTACATACGCTGAATAGAAGCGAATTGAATCGGTGGCTAATCAAAGACGTAAAACAATACGTTCTTTTGTTGCGTATATTGGCTGACCACAATAGAACAACAGTGGCGCAGCCACCAAAACTAGAAGCAAACTAGTTCTTTGTTCAGTCACCAGTGGAATCGATTCACAGCGCGACGAAAACGTCTGAAATAAAAATAAACTTTGACAGAAATTACCGAAGCGTGAAAAAGTTTACACGACGACAGCCATTATGTTGGACGACTGGGGGATGTTTTGTTATTCAGCACAATTTCCGATCAGGTCGCAAAAATTTGTTGATTGTCTCCGGCCCCTTCGGCGTTTTTTGACTGTTTTTGATGGTTTTCTGGTCGGGTTCTAATACACAAATGTCGCGATTGTTGGCACTCGTAGGCGGCCGCAAGATGCCTCCGAACGAGCCCGGCCCTACTATCTGCTCTCCCGGGGGAGACCATTTTGTAGCACTCGGCTGCTGCTATCAGCGATACACACAACGGACTCTGTGCGCCAGCGGGAAGAAAATTGCAATGGACTTTCCTTGACTAGTCCTGACGCGATCAACCTTTCCTTGAACGCGTATCGCATTTCTCTGCAACCCTAAGCGCATAAAGTCTGCTCAATTTTATCTACCCTTGGATATAGTTCCAAAAGTGTCCAGAAATTATTCTCAAACAACGAAATGAATTAAAATGTTTAGAATTTTAACTTAAGTGGTTTAAAAATGTGTTAGGCATTAGAATGTTATTAGTACAACACAAATTACTTCCGACCACTTTAAAATCTGAAATATTTCAACACCATTAGCGCATTAGTTTGGTACGCATGTAAATGCCACTTAAGTATCCGATTACGAGGCGTGGAGAGTGACGAGATGAGATTTCACACTTTCAAGTTGAAGTCACATGTGTAAAGAGTCTGGAAGTCAGTCCGAATGCATTCGCAGTGGAGTTCAAGTCGGCCATTTCGGGACAGGAAGCTCCCCGGTCCGGACGCGAAGGCGATTTATGTTCACCAGGTTCTCGCGCAGTGTGCTGTGTTGCCATGGTGACTGAAGAGGGCCCCGCGCGCCACCACAGTCAAAAAACACCCCTCAAGCACCCCAACACACCATGCTTCTTGTGTTTCCACCTCTCGTAGTCTCTTGAAAACGCACTTTTCGGCGTGAAAAACTAACAAAAACTTAAATTTGCCGCCCCCGACAAAATGGTTAAAGTTTATGGTCCAATATATTTTTTTGTCGGCGGCGATGGCACGAGCAATGCAATTAAATAAATTTTTATGTCGCGCACCGTTCCGTTTTATTCGCATTTTTGAAAGGGTCGACCAAATGCGGATGGACACTGTGCGGACGAGCTGTATCAGCGTGTAAATTCGTCACGTCATCACGGTCATATTCGGTCATATTCGCACATACAATGTTCACATTTACTCCCGCCGCCCTCGGCCCACGTCGAGTTGTCGACATTTGTGTGCAATCAAGGGCTAAATAACTCATTCATGCCGCCGCCTAACTAAAGCGGAAATTGTACCTGTACGCATCAACATTACAGGCCCGCACTAAGAAATATTCATGTATAAACTTAAACTCAAATTAAAGACAAAAAATAAAAAAATTCAAAGCAATTTTAAGACGTTTTTTGGCGAAAAATTAATTTTTATTTTTAAGAGTTATTTGATGGTTAGTACGGGTCTGTATATTTTGCAACAATCCTCATTCGACACAATCGTAACAAAGCTGCTTTGCTTTGGCACACAAGCCGGTAAGCACAAGCGGGGGCGGCGTGTGTTTCGCGTGCGCGCATTCATCATCATCGTTCGCATTGTGACCACGCGTTCGAAATTTCGTGTGCGATGCGCGTTTGCCTATTGATTGTGACTGATTGAATCTAGGCCTGGGCAGGACGCGATTATCAAATCATCTTCCCATCAATTCCATCCTCAATATGCACACGGGAACTGATTCTCTAACTACGTATTAGAAACGAACGCATCAGAAACCAGATGTTCAAATTTAATCCAAAAAAAAAATTGTGAATTGTGAACATTCCAATATGGTTTATAAGATTTCTATCTTTAAGACTTTTGAATCAAAGGCGGTAAATAAAAAGTTATATAATTCTAGTGTATACTTAAATTAGACCGCCGTGTTTGTCTGTGAAGCTGGTAGTGTGTAACATAAAAGGCAGCGTTATTTAATCGACGATTATCTCGGCGTCGACTGCGCTAAACGGTCCGCTCACTAAATGAATTATTAAAACGTCGGTCCTTAGTCAGTACTTAGCCGCTCCGGTCCGACATTGTCGGCTGGCGGTAGTTGAGCGCGCGGAATAATTAAAACCGCACGACAGCGCTGCCCATTTCAGGCGCGCGCGCGCAACAATAAAAGCCGCGTTTGTGCGACCATAAGGATACCAGCGCGACCACGTTTGCGGGCATTTGTCAACTCGTGCTTTATGATATGTTGTTGTGTATCCAGCAGCGGTGTGCGCGATGCGATAAATGCCCCATTGAATTTTCATCGATCCGAGTGCATCGCATCATCCGAGCGCGTAATTGAAACTTAATTACGCCACACGCAACAAATTGTTATTGTCGCGGAACGCAAACACAAACGCAAAGACAGGAATCCAATTGAGCGGCGTAGGTAGGTACACGAAAAAGGGTCGAAAACATCGTTTAATGAGGCGTGAATAATCGGAAAGAGAGCTGCTGGGCTAGAAGTAAATCTAGGATATTGTCACCCCCTAAACAATTCACTCCAACGCCGATTAAATTGTTGTTTCGGACCCGGAGTGCACTCGCTTAAGCGCAAGCACGTATTTTATCTCGAATTGTCGGACGAGGGTTCAGCTATCCATGTCACTCGGAGGAGACTCGGAGCTAAACTCATTTGCAAATTGATTTGATTGATTACATTATCCGCGTGCGACGTGATGCAGAGTTTTCCGAGGAAAACTGCTAGGAAACTGTTTTCGTGCCTCGCTCACCGCGGCTCGCATGTATACCTACATTATTTTAATCAATTTTCAAGGCCTGTGCGAGAAGCGTAGTTAATGAAACTAAAAGGTTTACCACCGCACGATTAGAAGCACTTATTCATGCATTTCCCAACCATATGTTGCCAAGATTACATATCATTAATGATCAAATGTGAAATCATTTCGTTTACTACTATTTCCGATGTGTTTTTCGATCAGATAACACTTGCTCAAGGTAATTGTACGTCGTTTTATCTTCTTGTCTGTGTGTAGGTGCCAACATCTTATATCCTCGAGGACCTAATCACAGCCTCCCTGGAGAATGCGACTCAAGAATTCCGTGCGTTTTCCTCTGTTTCTTGTTCCGCTGTTTTGGTGTCAGCAACAATCAGATAAACACAAACAATCAGCTTTAAATTCTCCCAAAGAATCTTCAAGATAATTCTAGAATTGTATATTCGTGAATTGTTCGCATATTTCACATTTTAATCCAGTGTTAATTCATGTGTACTCCACATGTGAGCTTTTGACTTATTAATTACATTCATAAATATCCTCTCCAACAAGGTGGCCTTCGCACATCGCGTGACTTCTTCGTCTTTCTGGCGTTGTTGGCCCGGCAGATGTGCATGTCGTGTCCATCTAACACACCATCTAGGCTGGCGTGTCCGTGTTGTTTTGTGCCATTTATGCCATTACGTAAAGTAGATCTCTAATTACACGGAATCGTCATTAGGACAACAGCATAATGCACAAGTGCATACGTTTTTTTTTTCGCTTCTGATTAATGATTAATCATGTAGGGTATTTTTTATTAATCATCTAAAAGTAAAGTAAAGTCATCAGATTAATTTTATTCTTGTTCATTGGGTCTGTCTCGACGTTATTCTGGTGAAACGTCTTGCATTTAGATGTTTCTATTAATAGTGGGCGGTTTTGGTGCTGTGTCCCCAAATTGCGCCGATTTTCGAGGGTGTGCGACTGCTGAGCGTGCTGAAACACTAAAATAAACCCAACAAATGTTCGACACAAGCGTATCAATATGGTAATGGTTGTGCAAGCGTGTTTAAGGACCAGCGTCATGGTCAATATGCGAAATTACCATATCGACTTGCCGTAAAATGATTGAAGTGCATTCGTACGTAAACGGCACTTGACTTGATTATTTAAACGATTGATCGTCTCGCTTGCACTGGTGCTTTGGATGCACTGCATTAATGCCGAGTTTATAGTGTTTCGCTGTTTTCGAAAACGTCCAAAGCGCTTACTATAAATTAATTGGAGTTAATTACCAGTCCGAGTCCGGCCGATGATTATGTTATCGTCGGGCGCACATTCGGCTTCGATTACAAATCGATGCCTGCAGCTCTGGACATTCGAATGCGCTTAAAAATAGTATCAATTTTATTGACAAACATGACCATCATGTGTGACGTGCGATAATTCTCAACAGATTTATCTGGAATTTTTGTTGGCGTAAAACGACCGCCGATTGCTTCGACACTTCATAAATCTGTCATCCGTGCGTGCTGTGTATTACTTCGTCAACTGAGTGATTGTTTTATTGCTTCATTTCATTCCGGAAAAAAAAATCTACGAACAGAAACAAAACATTCTTTGGTTATTAAAGTTTTTTTTTTTGCATGCGTGCACACATGATGATTTTCATTCTCATCTGAGTCCTCCAATGGAGGGGAAAGAAGGAAGTGGTCGATATCATTTTTCAATGCCAATATAATGCGCACGATGGCTGCGGAAAATCGAACAAAATGAACGAAGGACGATTCTATCCCGTGCGGCGGCGCCTACCTTTTCGCACACTCGCGCAGCGCGCCGAAGACAGAAATAAAAGAACGAAACAGATTGCTACGGATAAGAAACTTGTCAGTTCACAGCCCGAGCGCGTTCATCCCTGAAAATTAATGTCTGCGAACTCTTCCGACTACTTTCAGAGAGAGGAGAAGACTTCTTCGTTCGGAAAACCTGATCAACTCGCTAGTATTTATTTTATTTTCTTCTTTGGTAACAAAAAATTTTGTTTTGTAAAAATTAAAATTAAAATGTATGGAAATAGTTTTGATGGTTGCAATTGCATTTAATTAAGACGGGAAAATGCCGCGTTTAGAATTAAAATATCAGCGTGTTTTGCATGTTGTACCTACTCTAGTCAAGGGCATTGGCGGCGGCAAGGGGTGGCGCTCCCCGAACAAGAGGTATATGAACACGTCGTTTGTGTACTGCTACTCTCTGTGAGTGCGAGGAGGAACGCAGTGTATCCCGTGGGACGCACGGCGGCGGCTCCCTCGGGTCGGTATTGACTCTTCTTGCTCCCCAGTGAACACCAGCCAGCCAGCCAGCCAGCCGGTCGTCAATACCGCTGGGAGATACGGCAAAACGCGAGAACACGAGCCGAGAACGTACGAAGCCACTACTACTCTTTGTGCCGCCACCGGGTGTTTCCTAAGACAATAATTAACCCGTGTATCAAAATTTACAATGAGTAATAATATTAACTTACAAGTTATTGACATTTAACTAAAAAAAATTCAGAAGAAAAAAAATGTCGCGTCGACGCGCCAAGCAACTACGTAAATAAATTTTTACGGTGCGCGTGCAGGTGTGGGAGTCCGCCGCCCCCCAGCTGCCTGCACGTAGACGTTGCGGGCGAACGCCGGAACGAGTTGTGTCCTTACTCCTTAAACTTGTTCGCTTCGTGTTCTCGCCCGTGTTCTCGCCGCGTTAAGTTAGTTATATTAAGCTCGACGAGCGAGCGCTGCCGCCCCCGCCGATGAGAGTTTGCTTTAAACAGTTTGTTCAACTCAACTTAATTTATAAGCGATTCATAATGCGTAAAGTGTCACGGATGAAATTGAGTGAAAGTCTAAATTTTACAAAATCTAAATAGATAAATAGATATCCGTCCATGCAACGATATGAATAATTGAGTTTGACAAGGAGCACGCAAGCGAGCAGGACATTATCTTATTACGGTGGTCCGTACCGCCTTAGGGGCACGGGTTTGTCGCATGCCTTATGTTGTCCTGGATGCTAAGAGTTGTCGCCGTGGCCAAAGATAAATAGAAGCGCATGCTGCAGAGCAGCTGGCCGCGGGCTAGAGAGGGTCTTCCTGGCCGGAAAGTGAAGATCATAACCGGATTACACTCGATATCCGTCCCTGGCAAGGACCTTAAAATTATGCCAATTGTATACATAAGTATCGTCACGTATCACGACACAAAATAGCTTTAACGCACATAGATAACCGTAAAATATTCCTGGAAATTTTGTGCGTTCTGCGCATCTTGTAGTTACTAGGGAAACTTTCAGGTAATGGAAACTTACATCAAATATTAAGATCTCGTGATATGGGTTTTATTAATTGATGACAGCCGAGGTGGTGCATAATATACGACGGCGTTGCCTTGAATTTCGCCATCCGAGCAAATAGACCTTCGGGATTGCTTGTAGGTGTAAAACTGCTAGACATTAGTTTTTTTTCTTTGGTTTTTCTGGCTGTAGGAGCGAAAAAACGAGCATAATGTGCTGATTCTGTTAGTTTTTGGCGCGTTGCGGGGCGGTTCTAATTCGGTGGCGCACACTGCGCGAAGATAAATTACTCCGCTTTAAGTCGAGAGTCGAGGGCGATAACGATCCAAACATCCGAGCTACCGGGGAAGAAATGGAAGATGTGCGAATACCATTGTTACAAATTAACTCGACTCGAATAGATATCCACCAAAAAGCGATTTATTTCCTTCTTCAATTTTATTTTGTTTTTTGTTGCAGATTTTTCTTAAAATTCTTCTTGAAGTGTAACCAAAATTGCCTGAAGAACGCTGGAAATCCACGAGACATGCGGAGATTCCAAGTAAGTACCTATAATATGATTTTTTGTAGTTTAGTTGGTGTTTTAAGTTGAAAAAGTAAATAAAATCTTTTTATCCTTTTCGGGAAATCCGTATCGCTCGCGTCTCGCATGGAAATTGAAATAAACGGCGCTCGTTTTGAAGCGCTTGCCGGCGACGTAATTGGGAATGCCCGAAAGTTGTGTGTTGTGCGTGTGTGCTAAACACACTGTATGCGGCCCACGCGAATGGCATGATAAAACGTAACGGCGGGCGCGCTGCCGCCATCGTGCAAAAATCATATCTCGAAACGGTTACGTCCCATATCTCCTCGCCTCGCTCTCCTGCTTTCCCTTTTCATTTCGCTCCGCTTTTTGGAATTGCACTCCGTGTTTAAGACGCGTTTCTGTTCCCGTTTTTAATCAGTTCCGCCGCGCTGCGAGCGCCTTCCAAGGCGTTCGAAGTTTTGTACAAGGTCGCGACTAATTTCGCACCCTCGTGGCGCGCAGGATAATTGGTGCGCCCCTGAGATTACATTAGATGCACGCTTCGCCGCCTAACCGAGACCGTTTTGTTACATTTTGTTACCCCCGGAAAAACTTAATTTTCTGAACAGAAACAATTAAAATTCAAAAATTCCAAAAATAAATTCAGGATGAATTTGTTTTGTTTATTCAGAGGAATTAATGAAGTCTTCTTTGGGGTTGTAGTGCGCCATGATGTGTACATTGTGCGTAGTTTTTGGTCGATGACCGTATTTCACTCTGGCACCCGGTATCGAACGCGTGGAAGCGCCGCCGCCTACTGGCCGTCATCGCGGCGCGGAGCGGCGTTCCCATGGGAACGTGTGTATCGCAGGGGAGCGCGCTCTTTCCCTAGGGAGGCCGCCGTCCCCGGGGAGGAGTCTCCGATGCACTGCCGCCGCCGCCGCCGCGTTCTATGAACCGCAAAATGGCCGTTTCTTGCTTTCTTTCTTTCTCCAGCTTCTTCTTGCGTGCGTGTGCGTTTTTTTTTCCTTCGGCGTTATTAATGTCGCGTGGTGGCGTTGTGTTGCAGGTCGTCATAGCGACGCAAGTGACCGTCGACGGGCCGCTCCTTGCGATCTCGGACAACATGTTCGTCCACAACAACTCCAAGCATGGGCGACGCGCGAAACGTCTCGACCCCGCCGAAGGTACTTATGTCAACAGTATGTTTCCCAACCACTTTTTTACACTTTTTTATATTTTATCGAGAAAATTACATCAATCAATGTATGTAACTTGAATAACTTCAGAATTTGATCTCAGAATTTTTTTTTAAGTTTAATTTTCAAACAAAGTAAAATTATATTCGTTTGTGGGGCGGCAGGAATCGGACATCGTGGTGTGCATGGCGTGATGGAACGGTGAAGGCACCGTTGAGATATTAGCCACAAATCATGCGGCTCATTGGTATGCGTCGCGGCGTCGGCTCAGCTCAATCCTACGCCGTGCTGCTGCTGCCGCCGCTGCTCTCTCGCTCGTTTGTATGCGGGCCTCATGGCGCGCCGCCAAAACTTTGTGAAATTGGCTGCCGATTCGGTCCACCGGCGGAAGGCAGCCCGGCGTCGAGCGAGGGAGTCCTTTAATCTTCTTTCCTATTCACTTTCACCGTTCCGGCGTTCTTCGTCTATCTTTATTACGGCGTGCCGCCCCCGCTCGAGCGCGAGATTTTGTAAAGAATAGCGAGGCATGAAAAGAAAAGAAAGGCGGCAAGGAGGGTTGCGCTATCGGGCTTCACGGGCTCAGACGGAGGCGGCGTGGTATATTATCCGGAGCCGTGGCACGCCATGCCTCACTTTGTTAATATCTCACTTTGTTCTACTTTATTCTTCTTATCTTAATCTTCTAGCAAGCAGAGAAAAATCAAAATTGTGGCGCAGGAAGGGAAAACTTAAGATTTTTTCCTAATTTTATTTTGAAAGCAAATTCTGAAGTTTACAAGTTCATACAGATTTAAACATCATTTATAAATTTCAATTTGGTTATCAGGTCTTTATCCACCTTTACCAGTTGCAACACCCTGTATAAAAGCCATCAGTCCTTCGGAGGGATGGACGTCAGGCGGCTCCACAGTCATCATTGTCGGTGACAACTTTTTCGACGGTTTACAAGTTGTTTTTGGCACGATGTTGGTTTGGAGCGAGTTGATCACACCGCATGCGATTCGGGTCCAGACTCCACCACGGCACATACCTGGTGTGGTTGAGGTTACGTTGTCGTACAAATCCAAACAATTTTGCAAGGGTGCACCTGGACGATTTGTATATGTTTGTAAGTAAATATTAAAATTTTACAAAAATTTTGAAAGATATTGAGTATTTTTTTGTTATAACAGCTTTAAATGAACCTACGATTGATTATGGGTTCCAAAGACTACAAAAACTCATTCCCAGACATCCGGGAGACCCAGAAAAATTACCAAAGGTAATTAAATTGATTTAAAACATTTTTTTTATTTTTAAAAATTTTTGTGTTTTTTTCAAATAGGAAATCATTTTAAAACGAGCAGCAGATCTCGCCGAGGCGTTATACACGATGCCCCGCAACAACCAACTGGGTCTAACCGGTCCACGATCACCAACCATGGGTCAGAATGGTATGGCGTCCAGCTTCAACACGTACACGGGTCAGCTGGCCGTCAGCGTGCAGGAGAGCGGAAACGGTCAGTGGACTGAAGGTGCTTGTCCTTCCTTATCTTAAACGCAACACAGTAGTCTGACCCTTATCGGAGGGTGTTTTACCATCACCTGCAAATCTTTCAATATGCGTGGTGTACTGACGTCACATTGTTACCGGTAGGGTTTTTCTTTTAGAAGAGTACGGCCGAGCCCAGAGCAGCAGCGTGTCTCCGCGTGGCGGCGGCTACTGTTCCAGCGCCTCAACTCCGCACTCCTCGAACGGCGGCTCCTACGGCGGCGGCGGCGGCATGAACGGCTACGGCGGCGCAACGCCCACCAGCAACGGCATGCTGCCCGGCTCACCTTCGGCCACGGGCGGCGGCATCTTCAATTCTACGCCGAGTAAGAGATATTACATTATTCAAATGCACCCTCCTCGCAGGCAGGAAAAAGTAGAAAATTGCTTTGGAAAAAAGAAACGCGGGTAGTCTAGTAGCGGATAGTGGCGGAATGTGTGGAAATGCGAACAAGTAAAAATAGACAGCGGAAGGGAGGCAGTAAACGCGTTAGAGGGCACTTTGGCATGAGCAACCCTTATTCTAAGCTCTGCGCGCTCGCTACTCGGAAATGTGGAATGATAAACAAGACAAGAAAAATGAAAATTTATTCACGCGCGAGCGATTTTTCTCTTTTGCATTTTTTCGGCTACAATTTTGGCTTGTTTTACATGCATTTTACATGAGAGCTAGTTTTATTCTTGCTCAACTACTTTTCAACGTAACTTTTTACATAACATTAGTTTATATTTAATATTTCATTAGTTTTACACAACGAAAATTTTTTGTTTTTTTCTTTTTTTAGTATCGGCTGAAGCTGTACATAATTATTTTGGCACACACCATCACCATCAGCACACGGCATCTAGCGCGGCGGCGGCTGCGACCAAAGCGGAGAAAGAGAAGAGCGCGTTCGCGCCGGTGGTGCGCGGTTCGCCGCCCCCGGGGGCGCCTGGGCACGCATTGCATCCGCATCCGCCGGCTCCCGCGCTTTTTCACCACCAGCCCGTCACCGGCTGGCATCACTTGGCCGTGCAGTGTTAGTATATTTTTGCATATTATTTTATTATCATTTTCATTTGCGCGGCGCTGTGCGGCTAATTGCGTTACATTTGTTTTCATAAACGACGCCGCTTTTAAAACTAAGTAGGTTTGCACAGGGAACAAGGGTTTCCCTTTTTTATCGTCGAGTTTTTTTCTTTTTACAACCCGGGTAAATGCGGTTGGGGTAAATTTACAATTGATTTATTAATTTTTCTTGTTTTACACAGGTTGCTAATTCATCAATTACTAATTTGTTACAGGAATGGGTTTAGTGTCATCACCATTCGCCTCGATGAATCCGTTCGCGCTGCCAACGTGTAACGCGCAGAGCTATGGCAGCACGCTGGTGGGCGGCACGAAATAGCACCATGCGGACGGCAGCGCAGACGGCGGCACGCCACCGTCTGAGCACGCCGCCGCCGCCACCGCCACGCACCCCGCCGTCGTCAACAGTGCAATGTATCCGGTGTGAACCACGTAACGCGTACCAAAGACGAAAAAGTATTACTCTTCTACGATTAGTAACTATCACCAAATCTCAACTAGTTCAACTCAATTCTTAAACACTTGTAATAAAAAAAAGAATCAAATCTGTGATCTACGCTCTACTGAAACGAATCGACATGAACAACCACACTTTGGCATATCTTGACACTCGAAAATACATATCGCTTTTAAGCTGGGAAATTTAGTCTAATTATTAATCGTTTTATTCGCAAGAAAATCGTCGGAAATGAGATCAAATTTTTTTGGGAAAATAAACAAACACAATGTGTAATATACTTAGATTTGTAGTTTTGTATAAAAAACTGAATTGAAAAGTGTACATATTTATAAATATTTAAGGCAAAAAACGTGCAAAATTAATATTTAGCGAATGAGTCTTGACGAACGTATTGTAAGGAATGTACAAAGTAAAAAAACAAAAACGAGTGACGCTTAAAATTAATCACTCGTTGATTTATAACTTAAACACACACACAAACAAGAAAAACAAACACACGCGAATAGGTTTACTCAACAACGACGTCTCTATTTTCTAATGATAAATTCGACATCATTGTCATATCACTAAAGATAATATATAAGTTTAAATTAGCTAATCAACGACATACTGTATATACATTTCGCGATTTAATTGTATCTTGAATCACACAGCAAATCGTCTGAATCTATAAAATCATCTCCCTCAAAATCAACACGATAACAAAGTTACAAAGTGAGACACAAATAACGAACAAGTATACGATGAAAAATTCTAAGCTATAATAAATTCTATTTAAAAGGTAAACAAGATAAATACGCAAGGAATTAGCACAGATTTTTGTGTCTAATGTCATACAGTTAAACATCAAGTGCAAACACATTGAATAATTATGAAAACAAACAAATAGACCGATATAATTTTGTATTATTAGACTTTGTCGAGTTTTATGATGTCACAGTGGCGTAGCTACCCGGTAAGTTATAAAAAACTTACAAAAAAGTAAAAATTTTGCTTTATTTTTTATTTTTTTGTTTTTAATTTTAATTTGAGAACAGTTTACATCAGATTTTTTGTTTTAAATTACAACCCTGATATTTTTATGTTTTGTGGTCTGATTTAAGTTGCTACGCCACTGCGAAATCACTAATATTTAAATTTTGACTGTATCTTGTAAAAATGATTGAAAATGTAATTACTTTAGAATTTTATTACAATTTACGGTGTATATATTGTAAAGTATGCTTAATTTGTGTTTAAATGTTTTTGTTTTCTTTTAAATTGTTTTATGTTTTTATTTAAATTTAAAATTTCAAGAAAATATCAGCGAAATAAATTTTTAAAGTACAGATTATACCTATGTGTGTTATTTTTCTCAATTTTCAGCAATCAATTTTCATAATAGAAAAATCTCCAATGAATGAATGAATAAAAAAAAAGTGTAAATATTTGCGCACTGGATTTGTTGTTTCAAGCCCAGATGGTAAGCGACCAAAGTTGAAGTGAGTTAAAGGGTGACTCAAGTGGATCTTCAAATAACACATTCAATACAAAAACAACAAAATATTATCATTTTTCTTTTTAAATATTTATTAGTAGTTAATAAAGTAACAGGAAACGTTTTTGCATTTTATGTAAATTTCGTCTTTGCTTGCCAAGCGTAAATTGCTGATTGAAACTGACACGCGTGAATCGAATCCAGGCATATTTATATTCCGATGCGCCGGAGGGCCAAGGGTGGGCTCGCATGCCCTTCTCGCTAACTAGGCTGACAGATGGTCCCCGCAATGTTCTTGCACCAGCCGCACCAGCACCCCGCGAAAAGGTCACCATGACGTCACTAGGCCTTTACCACCCCATGTCGCCGTTGGCACCGCATCCGACCACATCGATTTTAATAGACTCTCGCGAATAACATCGCCCGAAATGTGCAATGAAATGTACAAATTCGGCGGCCTGCGGAATGAGTTTCGATAATTTTAATTACGCGCATAATACAACGCGCTCGCGCGGTGTGCGGACGAAATTAATTTTCGACAAAATTTGAACGGCCATCTCGTCAACGATGTAGTCAGCGTGTCATTGTGGCGGCGAGGGAGGAAATTGTGATGCGCGTGATGCCTGACACGGCACCAAATTGCCAATTTTGCAATTTCATTTGCAATTTTCAAAATCCCATTGCTACAGTTGCGAAGTGTATATGAGAAACGCAATACAAATGATAATAACGTAATAAAACTTAATCTAAGCGTGCAATGTTGTTTTGTTTTTCACTCAAACTGGACAATTGCTTCAACCCGTGACTAAAACCCGTAAGAAAAGTACTTTAGTCACAACTTTAGCAATCCGTGGTTAAAATATCACTTTTTGTGTCTTAAAACCGTAAAAAACGCGTTTTAAAGTTGGAAATCGAAAAAATATAAAATTTATGTTCTGTAATCAATATTATTTGATATCTGTTATCTTTAAAAATACAATCAAAGCCCTTAAAAACTTCAAATTTCAAAATTTATCAAAAAATCTCCCACAAAACGTAAATTTCGAATAAATTACACAACTAATAACTAAAATCCTCTTTCAAAAATCCAAAACACAAAGCCTACTTCATCTGACACTCTTATCACACGCGCAAACAAGTCCTATCATCAAATTACTTCCATTCGCGTGAATCTTAGTTTGTTTTCCATCAGGATTACGCGCATTGCAATTGCATTGCAAGTAGAGATGCGCCTTATACAAAACGATGCTCCCGCCACGTGTCTAATTGACAACGACACGAGTGTACACGAGTGCCTATTGTCCGCCCCATGTCAATCTAATATTGCTATTAGATTATGTCGGCGCGAGGGCATGCAACTCTACCGTGTGCCCACATCGGCCATCGCCGACTTATCCGAGGGGATAATAATGTGTGCGATCGAATTAATCCTTGCACTTGAAAGTGAAGTGGCGGGAATGCACACCAGCACCACACGCTATGCGCAATGCCAGCTGATTGAGAATGATAAACATAAAGAGATTTTATCCGCGTGAATCGAGGCGCATCTTTGGATTGCGTTATTACCAGCACTCAAGTTCTTAGTTCTCACGCAGCTATCAACACATATCACTCACACTCAAGTGTCAGTAATTTTTATTTGATTTTATTTATGATTTTACTAAGTAAAAAATAAAAATAAAAAAATTAAAAAATTGTTTGTAAATTGTGCGTAATTTGCGATAAAAGTCAAATATTTGTATGTGTAGGTTGGTTCGAGATTTATTTGATGTACTTACAGGCACTTCTTGTAAGTTGAAGTAAGTTTTTCATGCCCGCGAGCGCACAACGTCGAATTCCTCAATTCATCGAGGACATATTAAGATAAATATGCCTATTTGTTCGGATAAGACCCGACTTAATGCATTTATGGCACTTGTGGGACTCCCCACCGCTTCATAACATCACATTGTCATCATTTTTAAAAAATAACTACTCCTATGAAGCCTACAAGTTTTAAACGCCGCGCTGATATATCTGAGATGGCATTCTCTCCAGCGTGTGATCGAATGAAAAAAATCCGATGGAATGTTTCCGCCTTGCTGCAATTTTTTGAGGCGAATTCAGCGGCTTGCTATCAACTCATCCGATGACAATGAAATGACAATGTGATTTACAATTCCCGTTCGCGATCTGCGCGCAATTCGAGGTCTCTGCTCCCCTATCGCTGATGAACGAATTCCAACTCCAATTACACTGATAAACAAATTACAATTGCAAAAATTGCTGAAAACTAATTTATATTTTATAATACGACCGTTGCGAGCGAGATTTGATTGCCGCGGAAGAGTAACTGTTATTTTTATGTAAAACAAGTGCTGTTGGATGTCAAGGCTGAAATTTTCGGAGGAAAATTTAATGAAGTTGATATTTGATCGCACAAATGCGCAACGATGTAGAGCTGATGAAAGGGAGATCGGATTTCGTGAGCACAACTCAACAGGATTAGCACCCGCTTTCGAATACATTATCGTGCACTTTATCGAATGATTCTTATCACTGACGTTGCGTTCTGACGTGTTTTTTGATCACCCTACGATACTTACGTCATTGTCGAAAATACAGACATGTTAGGATGACTAGTTGATTACTACTTAATTACCACAACTTGATGACTACTTCCAAGCACAATATAATATAATTATTACTTTTTATACTCAATTGGCGTTAAACTCAGTTTAATTTATTTGTTTTTACATAGTTAAACATGATTTTGTGACTAATATTATAATTATTAACTAATATAGTACCAGATAGTGCAGAACAAAGGTAAATAAATAGATTTATAAGAGGTTTGTGCCTTAAAAACCGAAAAAAGGCTAAAAAATGATTAAAAACGAATGAAAACTTTTTGAAAGTTGAGTTAGAAAAACGTATTTTACTGCCATCTGCACTTTAAACGCCTTAGTAACCCTAGTATTAAAAGTTTGCTGCAAGCGCAGCTTTACACTACTAGAGCTTTCGTTAAGTTCTGAATTTCCCCACTAGATACCGCAACATGTCTAAACTTAAACGTTTTCAAGATTAAATCTTGTCCTCCCTAGTTTTTGTCGGTCAGAAATAAAACTTTGAATGTACTTCAGACAAAATTGATTCTCAAGCACTACTGATATCATCTCTAGACACAATCATCATCGAAAAAAATTCAAAATATTTAATTCACGTTTAATACTTACAAATATAATCATAATCATATGATTTTTACATTCTTCGAAACTTAATTGATAATTCGAAATTATTTTCAAGCAAATATTAATAAACAGAGATACAGATCAGTGTAGAATTAAATTCCACAGTGTATTTGCATGCTCGATTACCGCTCTAAATTTCAATTACTTAATCGATTCAGATTGATAAGATCAACACGCTGACAATTTATCAACGCGCGCGATCAATGAAAAATAAAAACTTATTAATTATTAATTGTAACCAGCCAGCGAGCAGCGAGCGTATCAAATTCATACCACATCATAAATTAGCATAATAAATACATGTGGCAATCGTCTGGTCGGTTAGATGAAGACGTCAAATTCATCATTAAACGTAATGCATATTAATGCGTGCACTAAACATATTAAAATATTGAAATTATCATAATTAGAACATTAATTTCCGTAATAAATTTTAATAGATTTATGGGCATTGAATATTAATACGTCGATACATTAATATGTGGTAATACAAAGCGTGGTGAAATTAAATTCTTCTCATCTTTCATGTTTTCTTTCGGGTTTTGTTTTTAATTCACCGGTAATAAATTTTAAGGGAGTTTCGGTTCTCCGGCCCGATATGATCATATTTATGAAGTGAACCAAGGAAATCAATTAACATTCTTTCGTCTTGAAGTGTTTCCGGTTGATTTTTCAATCCATTTTTATTTTCTGCTACATCGAGTTCAACATCCCGCGTAATTCAATAAATTTTATTATTCCGATATTTTTACAGCGTTTTAAACTGTGTGAAGTGTTTACATTGAGGGTGACACGCCGAATGTTTGCCTATGATGCATTGAACCTTTCCCGGAAGCGAATCCAGCGTGATGAATCGTGAATATTGTGAATAACCGAATAACAATAAAATGCGTATTGATTCGTAGACTCGTGTCTGTCGGCGGTATTGTGCGCTCCAAACGAGCGCGAAAGTTCATTGAGTTCTTCAAACATCCCTTCTCGATAGCCTCTTCGCACCTATGTCTATATATAACACATTTATGCAAGTGGGACAGATCAATAACCCTTTGCTGAATTAACTGTTTGAACATTCATGCGGCGCGATCATCGAAACTGAAGCGCAGAAGCTGAGCAAACATTTTCGCATTCAGATTCAGTTTCGGATTGTTGCACTGTTGGAAATGTTAACCTACTACGCATATTACTCACCGACGTGACTCGTCACAGGCCATATAAAATTATAACAATGATAAAAACAATAAAGTGATAATACCAGCGCGCAAACACTCGTAGTAGTGTGTGCGGAGGCCAATACAAGTTTGCATTGTTAATGCGCTCGGATTTAAATACCACAATAT